AATTCTGTACGTAACAAATACATCTATAGTCAGGTTATGATTACAATGTGAAGACACATGTAACCCGTATGATCCATTCGCAATTTCCCTAGATGTTAAAATTGGAAACTGTAAAATCAATGTCTTATTGTGTATGTATGTTATCTTTTTTAAAAACAACATAAAGAGGATATTGCAAAAACATTCTCACAGGCATGTACAATAAGCATTATTTGATGAAAGGCAGGTTTTACTATTAGGCTGTTAGCCTGCAATTTGTACACACTCTTAATATTTAGACGTTGATTTGATATAGATTGTGATGCATTGACCTTGAAGATTGGCCAATATGTGGCTGAAATTGCTCAAATTTTATGTAACCGTACATGATGCTACATTATATAAATTGCCAATTAAAATTTGTGTGTGTTGTATGTTACAAGAAATATTGTATTTTAATGTCAATCTGAAAATAGGTGGTCAGTTATATCATAACAAATTTCTTGATCATATGGTTTGAGAATATAATATTTAGCAGGGCATACTTAACCATATCCTTTGTGAGGTGATGATCAGTAGATTAGCCTATCGGAGAAGAGATAACAGCCAAACATAAATTTTTATATAATACCCTACGCTTGGCTAAATATAGTACAAGTCTCCCTCTAATTAAAGACCCTGTCCCATATTAACAAACGTCTTTTATCTTTATTATTCTAATTAGAGACCAAAGCTGCAAAAGTCCATGGAAACCTCTGTCCCAAAAGTGGTCTTTAATTGGAGGGAGGCCTATATTTATAATTAAATATTATGAACTTGTTCCTTGAATCCATATCTGTATATTTTGGAATGATATTTTGATAATTGTTGTATGTTACAAACATATTATATTTAAAAAAAAAGAAAATTAATAAAAATGAAAAAATGGTGATCAGTGCTAACATAACAAATTTCTTGATTATAATTATTGAGAATATAATATTTAGCAGGGCATACCCTATCCTTTGTGAGGTGATGATCAGTTGGCCTTGCTTGTACCTAAACTGTAGGAGATACATAATGTTTGCTCTAAACCTAACCATAATTATTTCTAGCCATAGCAAAGTGAAAAAAAATGTAGGTTAAATAATACTTTTTTTAATTTTTATTTTTTTTTACACTACCTTTTGCTTTTACATGGTGGCTGATTTTTCCACTTACATCCAAATTAGATATTATAGGAGAAAATTTATTTTTAAAATTAGCCCAGGTACTGTATAACAAGGGGGCCAAGTTATAGATTGAATAAGTTTGAAGGTCCACTGATAATGGACAGTGTCCACTCCCATGGTCATACAGTAGTGTGAAATGATGTATTAGTGGTTGTGACATACAGTAAAGTAATTAAGTAGACTTATTAATATGGGTCGGATGTATCCTACTTGAGCCAGAAATGGCCCTGCAGGCTGCCAGTTGAAAAAAACCCTGAAATAGTCTGCTTAGGAACAAATACTTAATAAACTTTTTAATTAAATCTATTTAATACTATGTGTTGCCTTATCACCTTATGGGTATTCACCATGTTTACTGTTTACCTTGTACAGTGTAGCAGCTTCCCTTAATACATAGAGGCTGGCATGTTATCGGATTAAGCCACTTCAAGTTTAGATTAGCCTATCAGAGATATCAGCAAAACATAAATTTTATATAATAGCCTACTCATGGCATAGTATTTATAATTAAATATATTAAACTTGTTCCTTGAATCTATCTGTGTATATTTTGGAATGTCCTAAATATTTTTGTTTTTGAATTTTATATTTTAAATATATTATTTCGATAAATATTGTCATAATTAATAGAGAATTCCATTTTGATAAATGATATTGATTTATTAATAAAAATAATTTCCTAGATCAGGCACTCACAGAATCCAATATGTTTGCGGACTGCCTTAGATGACTGCCATTATTTTCTTTAAAACTTGATTGTGAGCCATCATGCAGTTTTTGTTGACGATACAACTCCTCCTCTTGGTTTAGTTCAGTTTAGTTTGTATTTTTATATTCCTTTAGGTTACAAAGCGGTTTGTTTTTCCCTGGTCATTGAGTCTATATGCTTAAGTGTTGCTGCAGGTAATCAGCGTAGGAGCAGACTCCTGGGTGGAGAGAAGCAATGCAGATAAAGGGCCTTGCTCAAGGCCACAAGCGAAATGCACGGTGAAGGATTGAAACCCCGACCTCGAAGTTGGGAGCCCAAATCTGCTGCACCAAACCGCTTCCTTTGTTTTCTATTTCCCAACTGCTCCTTGAAAACTTAGCTTATTTTTATTTATTTTTTAAATATTCAGTCACAATTCTTTTTTCAATAGTCGTACGGTCATCATTCCTGATGTCCAAATATTGAATGTTGACACGTTGGCGTGAATTTCGATACTTGGAGTATGTATTATACTATCTTATCTTTGATTAATCAGTGGACCTTTAGTTTTTGTACGGTCATAGATCGAAGAGAAACATTTTTTACAGTATACAGTAGCAGCTGTGGCAGGCTAGAATTGCATCGTAACTCGGAAATCTTTGTTTCCTGTGTTATCTGATCGACAATATTCTACTAATCTTGGTATATGATCATGTATGTTTGAACCTACAGTAATGTTACTCCTTGAGTTGGTATAGTAATAGGAATTCAATTTGTACCCAAATCTTTTACATTAATAAAGAAGTCTATGATTGGATACGCTGGGAATTTGGAGCTCTACCAATTAAACTTGAAAAATCAATTTGTGATTTGAAAGGTTTAATAGTACTTAAAGCTGTATATAGTCTTTTGAATGTTTTGATTATATTTAGAGATATTTTTTTTATACATTTTATACAGCACTTGTGTTTTTGTATAAAAGACTAAAATTCATTGCAAATATTTCATTGTAAAAGTAATCAGTATTTGCTACAGAAAAGCCTTTGCATAAAAATAGTAGTTCTTACCATTACAGTTTTTGCAATGAGCATATGAGAATGTACGTGACACAGCGTTCAGTGCACATAATTGATATTACGGCCATTTAACGATCAGTTGCTGTGGGGTAATTTTAGTTTTCCAATATTTCTTCTCGTAGCCAAGACTGAGCAATCTTCCCTGGTTTTGCTTTTTGATTAATGGCGTGGCATTTTCTAGATACTTTAAACTTCGTCACTTGCTAGAAACAAACTGATGGTGTGTTGAAAAATGTGATTTACCGTATTTCATTCCTACAGGTTTTTTTTTTTTTTCAATTTAGCCAGGTTAGTATTTTTATCTTAATCTTTTCAATTTAGCCAGGTTAGTATTTTTATCTTAATCTTTTCAATTTAGCCAGGTTAGTATTTTTATCATAATCTTTTCAATTTAGCCAGGTTAGTATTTTTATCTTAATCTTATAACATTACATGGACTGTGTGCACGCTTGAACCATGCATTCATACATGCACATATACATGGTAATTGTATCGCACTCGTATCATGAAAATTTGGGTTGCCAGAACATTTCTTAGGTAGTGCCAGCTGGGAAGTGGGGGGGGGGGGGGGGGGGGGGCAGTGGGCATTTGTCCTCCCATTGGACCCAGTAGCCCGACACTACGACTAGGTTGTTGGATCAAAAATAATACTTTGCCTATCCAAATAACGTTATTTTGATTGCTAATCCCTAATATTGTGGTTGGGAAATTGGTAAAGTGTGAAATACCTACATCCATGGAATAAAATTAAGAAATACACAGTCATATGAAGAGGAATTTTTGAAATTCATTGTCAACCCAAAACCTGAATCTACCCTCAGAATTGCACTGTCGCCAATCTCTGTCGTAAAAAAAAAAAAACAAAAAAAAACACAGGATCTACTGTATGTTACCAGTAACGAGGTTGACTAGAAATACAACAACAGACCACAAATATCTTTACCTGATTTTACAGGGTTGGAGGCAAGTGCTGTGGCTATCAATTTATACTATATTGCAGCATAGATTTTCTAAAAACCAAGGCAATATGCCAGAAAACAATTGCATTATGATTTTATTAGGCTTCAAGTAATCAACACATACATGACAATAACCTTGGGATATGACTGCAGTATATATGCCTTGGGTTGCTAAAGAATATGGAGTCTCAAAGAGAATTGCCACCTTAAAAGGTTTGATAAGCAGGGATATACACTGTAGTTCATGCCGGATAAAAGAAAAAGAAGGAAGAATTTAATAATTCATATGTTATTTGAAAAAAATGAAACATCAAGCTAGACTCTAAACATGCGGTTACACCATCATGACTTTGCATGGTGATGCCGTCAATTACTTTCACACATTCACATCAGAGATATTTGGAAAGAGCTTTGATAACATATTTGAAATAAGGGGAATTTTATATATGGTATACTGTACCATCTAGTTTTTCTCATTCAGAATTTTATTTTTAAAGAATTTATACATCTGGAATAGAAGTTAGGATTTTCTATGTACGCGACACAGCTTATTCGCAGCATGAACGAAACTCTTTTACAGTAATCGCATCTCGTACAGTAAAAACAGATCTTGTTTAAGGTGGATTTTTTTTTAAATTTTCTGTTTAACAGCTATTTTAATAAAAAGCTGTTAAAAGCTATGCCAGATGTTTTACAGTGTTGTTGACATTATTGTATGAAATCTGTAAAACTATGATAATTGCGTTAAAGCCATCGAGTAGGTGAATTGAGTAAAGTGTAGTGCTTTTAGACTTGAGTAGTTCATAATACTAGGGTATTCAGCAAATTGATAATCTGAATAATTTAAGCTGTGTAATTTCAAAGGACTTTTTGGAAAAACTGAGACACCGGTTAGCTTTACCTTAATTAGTCCAATGCAAACAACCTGGGAAACTATTGTCTGGTCGGTAAACTGCTTCACAGCAGATCACACCAACATTTCAAACTCAGACACGCATGGGGTGGTCAACCTTTTAGTTATTAGTGTTAATTGCACTATGAGCATCTTTACAGATTTATTACAAATTTTTATTATTATTTTTTTCAGACTATGAATAGCAAAGTTTCCAATGGTCTGTCTCCGACGGTATCCTTCAGCTTCGACGAGGTGGAGAAGCTCAATCCTACAGATGATTGTGAAACTGTATGCCTACCGATGACCAGCCTGGAGGCAGCAAAGGCCATTGAGGCAGATAGCAATGGTAACACAGGTAATGGAACCAGCAATGGAAAGCATCCCACCTTGGATTATGACCGTATTCATTGCCAGATTGATTCCACAGGTGAGAATCATAATATCCATGTGTAAACTATCTCAAAGGTGAAAGGGATTTTATTGATTCCATTTGTTTTTCATATTTTTACTTGCTTGTTATTGGTTACTTTAGCAATCTTCCTTGCATTCAGAAAAAGCTTTGTTTTTCTGGTTACAATATATTCCGAGGTTAGACAAAAATTAGATCTCAAAATTTGTGGTGGGAGGGGGGGAGGTCTACTTACAGTATACCTGTACGGTACTCCGAGTAATGTTTACGTAAAAAAAATTGAGTCATAAAAAAACGGTGAGAATTAGAGGGTGGACCAGGGCTGTACCAGGCTAGTCTAGGGCCTATACTTATACTTAGCTGAATTTAGCCCAACCCTCTTAATTAGTGAGTGTAGGCCTAATTGCTCTGTGCCTAGAATAGGCAAACCATTGCCAATTGAAAATAAAAAACAAAAATGTAAAAAACATTAGGTTGAATATTTTTTGTTGATAAATCTAAATGAAAGGAGACAGACTATGAAATTGTATTTGACAAAAATGTGACATGCCTAAATATGGTGATGATGACATCACACATGACCATTAAGCATATTATGACTATATATGGGCATATGATTTTTTTTGTCAAACAAAATTTGATAGCGAGGAGAGATTTTATAGGAAATGTTAGACCAATATTCTCTTAAGAATACTTAAACAGCTATATTTCTGTTGAGCCATATCAACAATCCAAACAAAACATGCCTGTAGGTATTATGTAGCAATTAATGTTACCAGCAGTGGCGGCACCAGTGGGGGGACAGGGGGCTTAAGCCCACCGGACTGGTCAAGCCCCCTCCCCCGCCGGACAGCTCGTCAGGCAGTCAGACAATAAAACATAAAAATAGGCCCACAGCAAGCCAACACATGTCTGTCACAGTCTGAGAGTGCCATTTTCGGCCATCCAGAGGTTGATATTAAAAAAAAATCTCATTTGGGAGGGGGTACCCCTCTCAACCCCTTCCTCCAGAAAATATATCCTACAGCCGCCACTGGTTACCAGCCTATATTTAATGAATGAAAAACTAAAGTAAATTCACATTTGCAATGAGCTCAGTAGGCCTAGTAATAGTGGTTGTATTCACTATTATAAACCGTTGACCTAGTGTACGCAATATGGTTTATGTGCACTTTAAAGAACTCAGTTTTTCGAGACGAGTAGGTGGTTACCCCGATGTACTGGTCTGTACAGCCCCTGTTGTGGACAGGTGAGAGTAGCTACGGTAGATACCGGTATATACCGGGTAGTTCAGACACAAAGACACCCTCAGAGGAAAAGCAAGTTACTGTTACTGAGCTAGTCCACAACTCGAACACTTCGAGACTTTGATATACTTTAAAGTGCTATATAAACCTAATTACATATCTCCTTTTTTTATATTCTTACTCACACATATTCTACAAAAAAAAAATTCCTTCAAAACTGTGGTAGCAAATAATAAATATTATAATATAGATAGATATTGATGGATGTTTATTTTAATCTACATAATCACCATAATTATTTTTGTAATAATAATAATAATAATAATAATAATAATAATAATAATAATAATATGGTTTATATAGCGCCTTTCCAAAATGATCAAGGTGCTTCACAATGACTGATTCCACTGAAAATATATAAAAATAGGCCCACGCCAAGCCAACACATGTCTGTCACAATCAGAGAGTGTCATTTCTGTCCATTCAGAGGTTCCTATTCTTTAAAAAACATCATTTGGGAGGGGGAACACCCTCTCAAACCCTACCCCCAGCTTGGGCCTAAGAGCCCAAGTCTCCCTGTCAGACAGCTAAACTTAAGATTGATCAGTGTCTGTAAAACATTCTGCAATGCTACATTCTGCAATGCTACATTCTGCAATGCTACATTCTGCAATGCTACATTATGCTATGCAACATTGTAATATTTATGTAAAGGGTTGGGCAGAGTAGACTGTATTTATTCTAAATAGGAAATGGAATCTACTGACTTCCTCATTGGTGAATTATTTGTTTAAAATGTCCCAAATTAAACTAATCTCAAACTAATTTCATTTGATATGACATTAAGGAACATCAAAAGCTCACAAACTCAGCACATATAATATTAATATTTAGGATTACGGGTATGTTTGTTTTAATACCATTAGCTGAAGCTCAATTCGTATTTTCTATTCTGTAGATTCAGTACTTGAACTACAATGACCCCTTTACTACAGGCAAAATACTCATCGTTCATCAAATAGCCACACATGTTGAAATTATTTAATGCCCTCGTAAAAGCATACCTGCTTGTTTGTAGTAAATTAAGGCAGTATTACCAAGACATAATGTTCTGAAGGAGAAATAAATGAGAAGCATTAATTTGAAAATCTTAAAATTTTGTTTAGAATGAATTGTATTTAAATGAAGTAAAAAGTGGTGATTCATAAATTGCAACATAATCTTTGTTGCATTTTGATTAATAGTAAAATATTTATTTCTCTCTGGTATTAAATCTTATTGAATATGTACATTACAGCTGTGAATTACTTCCTTCTTTCCACTCGTAACCTTTGTAGAATACGCGTCTACTACGGATAACAAAAACAAAGTCATAGGACGTTATCGTAATTAAGAACGTAGACTGAATGTAGATCACAGTTTAGAATGTACAGTAGTTAATCTGTGTACAATGCCTAGAACCAGAGAACGTAGGATAGAGTGTGGTCTACTTCACTTTATCGATCGTTTAAATCTAGATAACGTTCCTATTCAGGGGACACCCCTATTAAGGGTACACTTTTTTTTGCTTAAAGGTGTTGCCATAATTGGGGTTCTACTGTAATCATATATGGTAGGCCAAGGCCTACACCTCCCTTAATAGTAATGACTCAAGAAATTTTTAGACAGCAGCTTTTTACTTTAACATAGCTTTTACATACATTACAATGGCACAGTGTATACCTACACTGGCAGATAGGATGTAAATCTGTTTCCCCGTCCGATGTACAGTATTAAGGCCAGATCTAAATGGCTAGGCCTATGTTGTGCGTGTTCTCTGCAATTCTAAGATTTAAATACAGCCCTAGGGCCTAGTCAAGATTCAATTATCTTTTGTATTTTTACAGACATCACCGTACTGCAATAAATGCAAAGCTATGTTGCCATAATCTTAAATCAGAAAAGCCAGATCTGTATTTAAGAATGTTGATGAATATTGATTGAAGTTTTTTTAAATGTTTAAAAGCATGCCCTAATCTCAACATGGTGTGTATTTCAAGTGTTCCAAACACAAAAGAGATGCTCGGGGAAACATATTACCATTATTAATTTTTAATTAGTAATATGGAATTGAAAATAATACTTGTAGTCATAGCCTATAAATTAGACAATACTAAAAATAGTGAATTAACAAAATCGCCGCACCATATACTGTACAACAGATTTTCCATAGCGTTAGCATTACCTGATACAGTACTGCAAATACTGGCGGTAACCTTCTGTCTACATACTATACCTCTTTTTGGCAGTCGACCAAGTTTTTTCTGACGTTCCCATGTTCCCGTTGATTCATAGCTATTTCCAATATCAGGTTGCCTCAGCACAAATAGTTTATATTCTTCACCAGTGTAGTTTTTGAATAATTATTATTTATGTTGTGAAAATGCTACCTGAACAAGGATGTATTTCACACATGCGTTTAAGGAAGTCATCGACAATTAAATTTGCCTTTTCCAAAAACAGGAATTTAGTCTAGTTATGAAGTAGCTAGAAATAGAATGAAGTATGAAGGATACAGAGTGAATATAGGCCTACACAGTCATCGACAGTGCAATGGCCTAAAAGTAAAGTAACATTAATTTATATAATAATAATATTGATTGGGCCTTAATTAGGCTTACTTAATGTCTAACGTATTATCTTAACTTGTAAAAGGAAGACTTTAGAACAATAAAATACTCAAGAGACTTGTAATTCAGTTGTACACTACAACGTTTATTCACGTTAAATAATGGTAGTCTTTGATCCAACAAAAACATAAACAACTCTGTGTGTCTGCCTATATTCAGTTGGTTCGCGGCCTACGTTCCACTACGATGACATACTTTAGATCTGTTATGTCCTACATGTAAGGCTTGTAGGATTGTTTATTCTACATCCTACGCCCTACGCAAATCGTATGTTATGTCTACGAAAGCTACGCCTAGTAAAAGTTGCAGTGTTAATTGGCTGTACTGTACACTGTAGAGTAAAACTATAATAGTATAATGACGGAAAATATGTTTTATATTTTAAACATCATTTTTAAATCTTGGTTTGTATTTTCCATATGGTTACAATTTAATAAATATTTATATTCCCTGATTTGGATAAGATTTTTTGTGTTTGCCATAACAAGTTTAATGTTTCCTCAATGGAGTTGCATATACTGTATTACTGATTTCAGATTCAGATTTTTATTTGGAATCGCTTTAATATCAGCAGCACACATTCATTTTATGGCGCAATCTTATACAAAAAAAAAATGTGCAGAACAGAATGAAACAATCAATAAAAACAATTACCAAATTAAAGAAATAAAATGCAAAACACTAACCAAATAAAAATATAATTGAAAGTACATCTGTCAAAACAATTTTGTTTAGGAGACCGTAATATTTTGGGATGGGGCATTCATTGGATTGTATAATGCAGACCTTTTTTTACTGTACTTTAAAATGTGTTGCATTAAGTTCTTCTTCTTATCGTGTCCACATACTATACTTGGCCCAGTCATAGCTGGACACACTTCTGTGCCTTTACGTTGTATCTGGCAAGATCTTCAGTGTTGCAGGTTTCCTCTAGGTTGCATTAAGTATGATAGGAGTAGAAAGCATACATTAACAGTCTCCGCACCTGCCTTAACAAATGTCATTGCAATTAAACATTTGTGACTGGCTTGGCAAAACCTCATAACAATTGTCTACATTTCAAATTTAGCACTAGCAGCCAAAACATCTAAAAATCAAACTC